GCGACCGCTGACTGTGCTGGGCACGGGGTGCCCATGGTGTGGTTCGGTAGCAAGTCATGGGAGCCTGGTGTACCCTTTCAATTCCGTCTTTAGCGTCGGTTAGCGTCGATTAGCGTCTGGGGGTCGATGAGAGAACGCCGATTTAGCGTCAGTTCGCGGTCAGCGTCGATTTAGCGTCGATTAGCGTCGACTAGAGTCGATTAGCGTCGATTCGCAAGAGCCGACAAGATGGTATGGGAGGCTCCCATGAGTTGCCACCGAAGTGTGGCGGGAGTGAGCGGGACAAATTGCGGCGTTCCTCTTGGGAACCCGACCCTTCAAATCTGCCCATACCCCTGTCGCTGCCCGTTATCAGTAATCTCTCCCGCCTCCCTGCGCGACTGGTCGCGGACCAGGGACACAGATCCCCCCACCGTGCATGTCAACAGACAGTACGAAATGTATGATCCGAGAGTGGACCCCCAACAGTAGATTATTGTAGCTTATGCTGCGCATTCTCTGCGACGCAATCGTCGCAGTGCAACCTACTCGGTGCAAGCTACGAGATGCGGTGGAATCCATGTAGTGCGTCTTGTACAGTGCGACCTATGCGAAGCCCTGAAAGGCAAAGCCAAGCACTGCAAAGCAACGCCAGTCAATGTGGAACAATGCGACGCAAAGTGACGACAATCAGTGCACATCAAGGGCACGTCAACCAAAGCCAAGCAAAGCAGCGCAGGCAGTGCAAGGCAATGCAAGACAAATTCAAAACATGTGCATTGGAATGGCACCGCAAATGAAGTGTACCTGCAATGCGGGTACACATCGCATGACCCATGAGCGCAGCGTGTGGCGCAACAACACCTGGGCGCGAGTGACGGCCAGGAAAAAGTCTCGGAGTCTCGCGCGCAATCCATGGGTGCAACGCACGGCTCAACCCATGGGCGCAACCCGTGGCCACGAGATGATCGTCTGGGCACCCTGGCGCAACCCATCTGCGCAGCGTACGGCGCAACGCACGGGCGACAGCCGGGGTCACGAAGGAAATGTTCGGAACCTCAGGCGCAACCCGTGGGCGCAACCGATTCGCAGGACAGAGCCATAGGAGTGTTTCCAGGGCTGCAGCGCACGGCCGCCGCGCGCTCCCGGGGGCGCCAGGCGCAGCGCACTGGCGCAGCTTGCGCGGCGCAACCCACGGAAGGCCATGTAAAGACCATCAGAACAGGCCTCAGAACAAATTAGCGAACACATGCCACATTCATCCGTGAACGCCTCCCCCTCCCCCCAACGTTCAAAGTTGGCGGTGGGTCTGATGAGATGCACTTCGACCGCAGTCTCCCCCGCGCGTGCCAACACTGAGTTTCGGGGGAGGGGGAGTGTTCAGTAATTGTTGCCCTCTACCGAACCCCATGCCCAACATACGAACGAAGAGCCCCGAGGTACGAACCACTTTTTGGGGATCGTCACTTTGAATTTTTTCTCGTGGATGGGGGGGGTGCCGTCATGTGCGCTGGCGCTGGTGGCAGCTCGCGAACCAGGGCCTCCCACGGTCGTTGCTCCCGCCCCGCGACGCCCTCCTAAAGCTCCTGACAGTGTCGCCGCGCCAGCGCCTACGATCACCATCAAAGGCGGCCGATTTGCACGCAGAGGCGACCACTGCCCGCGCCATGTACGAAAATGGCGACGAAGTTGGCGATAGCGATGATGATGATGATGATGATGATGATGATGATGATGATGATGATGATGCTGATGATGGTGGTGGTGGTGGTGATGATGCTGATGATAATGATGATGCTGATGCCGATGACGATGATGATGATGATGATGATGCTGATGCTGATGCTGATGTTGATGATGATAATGCTTATGAAGATCATGATGACGCTGATGCTGATGCTCATGTTGATGATGATGGTGAGCATGATGATGATGATGATGATGATGATGATGACGATGCTGGTGACGATGACGACGATGACGACGATCATGATGCTGATGATCATGAGGATGATGATGATGCTGATGATGATGATGATGATGATGATGATGATAATGGTGAGGATGGCGATGGAGACGATGATGATGCTGATGATGATGAGGAAGATTTTGCTGGTGACGATGACGACACCGTCGACATTGCCGCCACCGACGACTACGACGATGACGATGACGATGACGATGATGATGATGATGATGATGATGATGATGATGATGATGATGATGATGATGAGGATGAGGATGAGGATGAGGATGAGGATGAGGATGAGGATGAGGATGATGATGATGATGATGATGATGATACTGCTGATGATGATGCTGCTGATGATGCCGATGCTGATGATGATGCTGCTGATGAAGGTGATGATGATGCTAATGGTACCGATGATGATGGTGAGCATGATGATGCTGATGATGATGACGATGATTCTGTTGATGATGATGATGATGCTGATGATGCTGATGACGATGATGATGATGATGATGATGATGATGATGATGATGATGATGAGGATGAGGATGATGAGGATGAGGATGATGATGATGATGATGATGATGATGATGATGATGATGATGATGATGATGATGGTGATGTTGATGCTGTTGATGTTGTTGATGACGCTGATGATGATGGCGATGCTTATGGCGATGATACTGACTATTTGATGCTGATGATGATCACGCTTATGATACTGATGCTGCTTATTACGTTGCCGACGAATACAATGATGCTGGTGATGCATGTATGATGGTGGCGATGATGCTGCTGATGCTGATGATGATGCTGATGCTGATGCTGATGCTGATCATGATGATGCTGGTGATGATGACGATGATGAGGATGATGATGACGACGACGACGACGGCGACGGCGATGGCGATTGCGGCGGCGGCGACGGCGACGACGATTGATGAGGATGTTGCTGATGATGATGCCGATGATGACAGTGATGAACGGGAGGGTGTGGTAACGAAAGGACGAGGTCGAGGGTGAGAATTAAAGTGCAGATGATGAGGGGGCGAACGAGCAGGTGAAAGCTGGAGACTGGTGGTACAAGCGACTCGGTGCGCAGCGGTTTTCCATACGACCTTGAGTACGCCATGTGACATGCTTCACTGGGTCGGTGAGGTAGTTAGAACCGTTCTAAGCTAATGGCGAAGGGTGCAGCAACTATTCTCACACAGTTTCAAACCCCGAGAGGGGTCTAGCCGATGATCCATCTGAATGCGAAGGCTCAACGGACTTGCGCTACGACGAGATGGAGAGGTCCGCCGCTCGAATGCCAGACGCTGCCCTGCCCTGCTGAGCTGCCACAGCGCAGCTCATTCCGCTGTTGTCGTCGGCGCTTTGGTCTTGAGCGGATGTAGAGGTCAACGTCGCCCTGATATGAGGTTTCGGATGCCACCGCTTCTGGGAGGTGTCTTTGGGATCTCTTTGGATCGATGATGCTTCACTCCAGTGAAGGCGACGCTTAGTCAGAGACTCGGCGTGCAGATCTTAGCGCTTCGGTGCACGCGTCCCTTGTCTGCCTGCCGCACTCTCTCTTAGAGGTCTGCGGTGGAGTCGATCTCAGCCGACAGCTATCTCGAGCTCCTCCAGAGGATCGTGAATATCAAGGACAGTGGCAAGCGCTGGCAGTCCTCCTCTGAGGTAGGATGCTGCTTCCTATGTTGACTTGCTCCGCCCAGCACCTGTTCACCTCCTCTCCTCGCCTCCCGAAGTGTTTTTCGTATGCCTCGTAGGCCGCCAAGGACGCTGGGGTGGGGGGATCGGGTTGGCATCCGTTCCGCATGCCCTGAGACAGGAAGCCGTACGAGTACAGAATAGCCGACCTTTACCGTACGAGTAAAGACAAGCCGTAGTAACTCACATATTTGCCACAGCATCACGACACGACCACGGGATCACGTCACTGTGACTTTACGACACCACGTCACCACGACACAGCGACACCGCGACACCGTGAGACAGTGACACCGCCGCACCAAGACATGCTGCCACCTCAACACCTTGACACTTTGACACCACGACGCGAAGACACCAAGACACCGCCCCACCACTGCGCATCGACACATCGACGCCACGACGCCCCACGACACCCTGCGCCGGCAGGCGCGCCCCACTCGCCGCAATGGGAAGAGCAGGGCATATTTTTTCGCCCTCCACCTGGGCGACCTGGGGAACCCCAGCACAGCTTCGCGTGTGCGCCACGCGCGATCATAGCTCCACGTCCAGCCTTCCAGAAGGTACAGAGGTTGGACGGCACCACGCGCGGTCTGGACGGATGCCGGCTGAGTGAGGTAACGTGGCACATCACACGCGGTACACATCATTTGTCTTATGCCAACAGGCATCTCGCGCGGCACCAGACACACGGCAGAGATCGATGGCAGAAATCACATGACATTCGGCATCACCAGGCATTGTACTTATTACACCGCATCGCGCGCAGGGTGCTACGCACCCGGCACCCAGCACACGGCATCAGGCGTAATACATATACAGGGCTCATACGAGAAAGGGGGGCCCGTCGTCTTAGTCGAATATGTTTCGATATCCAGACGCGCTGTCATGCGCATCCCCACCACAACCTGGGGCGCTGCACAGCAACGTTGTAGCGTGGTATGGCAGCAGCGGTGCATGGTTGTTCTGTTGCCTCTTGGCGCATCTTCGGGGCCTCTTGCGGACATCCTGGGGATCTTCGTGGGCCTCTCGGGAGAATCTTTTGGCACGCTGTGGAGCTTCTTGGGGTCCTGTTAGGTGTCTCGGGGCTGTCTTGGGAGGTCTCGGGGCCCCTGGGGTGTTCACTAGGCTGCTTCGAAGGGTACTGAGGCTGCCCAGCGGGCTCTCGGCTGGGCCTACCTTCGGCCACCCTCGTGGCGCCTTGAGGCAGCCCATAGCTGTCCAGGGCCGCCTTTGGCTGTCTTGGGGTCGTCTGGGGACTCTGCGGTCCGGCTGGACCGTCTGGGCCGCCAGGGCGCCCGCGGGAACCCAAGGACATCCCAGGACTTGCCAGAGAGAGAGGCAGTCTGATGCCCTGCCATGTGGCGGTGCATGCAAAAACGTGCAGGCGCTCATATATTCTTCGCGGCTTCGAGCCTCCCAGCCCCCCCCCTGCGGGGTGGGTGGGTCCGGGGGGAGGGCCCTCGGGAGCTTCGGGGGGCCTGCCGAAGTGCCGTCCAGGCTGCTCGGGTCGTCTTGAAGGGGGGAGGGGGGGCGTTGGTGTCGTCGGAGGAGGCACTCGGGCCGTCTTGGAGCGCCTCGTCGCCACCCTGGGGAGGCTCCGGAGGCGGCCGCGGGCCGCGCTCGCCCTCTGTGCGCCGCCCCGGGGGCCTCGCAGCGGAGCAGCCCGGGAGGGGCGGCGCCCCGCCCAGAGGGCGCGGCCACGAGGCGCTCAAGGAATAGCTTCGGCTTTGGCCACACCCAGGAGGGACAAAAACACACAGACACAATTCATCGTCGATTCCCCCGAAAATATGGGAAAATATGGGAAGTGGGGGGGAAGACAGAAACCCAGAAAATATGGGAACATGTGGGGAATCTTTTTTTTTATTGTGTGTATTCATTTGTGTGTCCTGGGGCCCCTTCACACACGCTTGCCCGTCGGCATGCGCAGCAGCCGAAGCGTCTCGAGCCTGGCGCGGGCGCGCGTCGACAGAGGGGGGCTCCGACGTCCGGTCCTGGAGGGAGCAGGGCAAGCCAGGGCCCGACACCGCGCCACCGGGAGAGGCAGCAGTCACCATAGCTGTGTTCGGGTTGCCGTCTCGCCGTCCTCGCTCCTGGCTCTCTCCCCCCCGCCCCACCCCCACCAGGCGTCTCCTCCCGCCTTTGCTCACCGTCGTCCCATCCTGTGTGGGCTTCTTTGTCCTGCCGCTGTTCTGTCGCGTCCTCGTGCCCTGTCAGGCGCCGTGCCCAGCCAGCTGCGGTCGAGCGGGTGTTGTAGTAAGAATTGCGGTGGTCGGGACGCGTGTTTGTCGTGCAATGGCCCTTTCAATCGCCATTCTTGTGTGCACCAGCGCTTTTGCCGTCGCTCGTGTCGTCACCCACTAGTCGCATGGACGGCAGCACTCCTGTTATCGCTGGCGTGACCGCCATCCGCAGAATTGTTGACCCGCTGCGGCTCCGTGGTCATAGTCATGATCTTCGCGATTAATGCCTAGATCGTTGAAGGCATTAATGTTGTCTCGCTCTGCCGAAGAGGATGATCTCGGCTTCACCACTCGTAGCTACGCCGACCTGGGTGCTTCGCACGCCGCACAGGATATCCTCTTTTCCTTTTGCGACTGCGTGAAAGTGAACAGGGTACTTTTTGATCCTCCATGGAATAGTGCTAAGATCTGGTTCTAGGGATGACATAAATGCGAGACCACTGCGATGTAATCGCTTGCATTGGCGCACTGTCTAATCCAGATGCTGGTTGACACATCGAGCAGGAATGTATTGTCCGTAAGGGCTTCGCCCCCTGCCGCCGGCCCTCTCCCTATCAGATAGGGATATATAGATATGTATATTTATATGTATGTATATAGAGATATATACGTGTATATATGTATATATAATATCATATGATATTATATTATATCACATTGTATATATTATATCATATTATATTATATTATATCATATCAGATCATATCATTTTATATTATATTATATCATATCACATTCCTTTATCTTATATCATATTATGTTATATTGTATTATATTTTATCTTATTATATCATATGAAATTACATTATATTTAATTATGTACTATATTATGTTATATGGTAGAATATTAAATTATATTTTTTTATTATAGTATATCATATCATATTATATCTGAGTATATTTTATTATATTACATTATAATATATCGTATAGTATTCTATTATACTCTGGTATTATATCTTATATTGTATCATGTTATATTGTACTATATTATTACACATTATATTATATTATATTGTATTATACTATATTATATGATTTCACTATATTGTATTATATTTATTATATTTCACAATACATTATATTCATATTATATTGTATTATATGATTTCACATTATATTGTACTATAGTATATTGTATTATATTGTATTATATGATATTTGATGTTGCATATTATATTATATCATATTGCATTATATTGTATGAGATTGTTTTATGTTATATTATATTATACCACACTATTATTCTATAGTGTATTATTTTATATCATACTAGATTATATTATAGCATATTCCAATTTATTATATTATGTTATATTATATCGCATTATATTATATGATATCATATTTTATAATACAGCAGAATATATTATACTATAATATTACAATGTATTACATTATAATATTTTTTCCATATTATAATATATTTTATTATATTATATTATAGTATATTGTATAATATCATAGTATATAGTATAATATAATTTCATATTTTATTATATCATATTTTATCATGCTATAGTATACCATAGTATTTTTAATTCTATGTCACGTTATATTATATTTTATTTTATTGTATTGCATTGTATTGTATTCTATCTCAGTATATTGTATTATATCATATAATATTATATTATATTATATTATATTATATTATATTATACTATATTATATTGTATTATATTATATTATATTATATTATATTATATTATATTATATTATATTGTATTATATTATATTATATTTTTATTTCATATATTACATTATATTATATTATATTATATTACATTACATTATATATATTATATTATATTAGAGCATAATTTATATTATATTAATTTATTATCTTATATTCAATATCATATTATATTATATTGTATTATATTATATTATATTATATTATATTATATCATATTATAGTATATTATTTTATATTGTATTATATATTATATTATAATTATATTGTATCATATTATATTAATTATAAATATATTATAATATATTATATTATATTATATTATATTATATTATATTATATTATATTATATTATATTTTATTATTTTATATTGTTTATATCATATTATTATCAGAGTCGTGTCGGTGCGTCTCAGTGCTGTCTTGGCGCATCTGGGAACATCATGCAGGGGCGGATAGGAATCATCAGTGCATCTTGATATCGAAGACGCCTACGGCGAATCACCGCCGCCCCCTGCCTTTTTGGAAGCGCCTATGTGGCCCGAACGTTGAGGCCAGACCTGCCAAGCTATCGGACCATGTGTTCCCCGAATCGGTTTGGAAAGCCTTCGGGGAACACGTGGGCATCCTGAAGGTCCTCTTGGCTGTCTGGAGGCCACTTTGACCCTTTCTGGCCTTCTTGGAGGACGTCTTGGAGGGCTCTTGGGCCGTCTTCGAGGCCATCTTGAGCGTCTTGGAGGCCTCTTGGGCCGTCTTGGGGGCCTCTTGGGGTCGTCTTGGGCCTCTTGGGCGATCTTTGGGGGCACTTGGGCCGTCTCGGGCCGTCGGAAGGCCGAACAAAAAGCAAATGCCACAATCCTTCAAAAACTCACGGACAATCAATGATTTTGGCCTTTTCAGATCCCTGGAGGCCCTCTTGGAGGCCTCTTGGGCCGTCTTGGGCCATCCTAGTGCCATCTTCGGCCGTCTTGGTGGGCCCCTGGCCCGTCCGACGTCGTCGGAAGCTGTTTGGGGGGCCTCCGACTTGGGGCCCTCTTGGAATGCTCCGGGGCCGTCTTGGAGGCCATCTTGGGCGTCTTAAAGCCCTCCTGGGCCGTATTGGGGGCCTCTTGGGGCCGTCTTGGGGGCCTTTTGGGCCGTTCCAGGGCCATCTTGGAGGCCTCTTGGGCGATCTTTGGCCGATCATTGGGGGCTCTTGGGCCGTCTCGGGCTGTTAGAAGGCCGAACAAAAAGCAAATGGCCCTCTTGGAGGCCTTCTTGGAGGCCTCTTGGGCCGTCTTGGGCCATCTTAGGGCCATCTTCGGCCGTCTTGGTGGGCTCCTGGCCCGTCCGACGCCGTCGGAAGCCGTTTCGGGGCCCTTGCTGGGCCGACTTGGGGCCCACTTGGGGTGCTCCAGGGCCGTCTTGGAAGCCATCTTGGGCGTCTTCAAGCCTCTTGGGCCGTCTTGGGGGCCTCTTGGGGCCGTCTTGGGGGCCTTTTGGGCCGTTGCTGGAACCATCTTAGAGACCTCTTGGGCGATCTTTGGGCGATCTTTGGGAGCTCGTGGGCCGTCTCGGTACGTCGGAAGGCCGAAAAGACGCAAATGTCAAAATCTTTCAAAAACCTTTGGGAATTCAGTGCTTTTGGCCTTTTCTGGCCTTCTTGGAGCATCTCTTGAAGGTCTCTTGGGCCGTATTGAGTCCTCTTGGGCCGTCTTGGGCCATCTTGAGGCCATCTTACGCCATCTTCGGTACATCTTGGGCCGTCTTGGAGATCTTGAGGCCATCTTAGCCGTCTTGGAGGCCAGCTTGGCCGTCTGGGATGCATCTTGGAGGCCGTCTTGGGGCCGTCTTGGAGCCGTCTGGACAAGGAAAAGCCCTTCGGAGCCGGGTCCGGGCAAATTTTCGGCATCTTTTCGGGTCGCCGGGCGGGACGCGCCGGAGGCCCTTGGAGAAATAACCAAAACCAAAACTGAAGGGTCTAGCACGCCAGGCAACCCTTTGTAACCAGGTCTTGGAAAGCGCCTATGTGGCCGAACGTTGAGGCCAGATTTGCCAAGCTATCGGACCATGTGTTCTCCGAATCGGTTTGGAAAGCCTTCGGGGAACACGTGGGCATGGCCGTCTGGAGGCCACTTTGACCCTTTCGGGCCTTCTTGGAGGACGTCTTGGAGGGCTCTTGGGCCGTCTTCGAGGTCATCTTGAGCGTCTTGGAGGCCTCTTGGGCCGTCTTGGGGGCCTCTGAGGCCGTCATTGGCCTCTTGGCCGATCTTCGGGGGCCTCTTGGGCCGTCTCGGGCCGTCGGAAGGCCGAACAAAAAGCAAATGCCTCATCAATCCTTGAAAAACTCATGGAAAATCAATGACGTAACACCCCGCAATTGCGGATAAGAGTGAGGGGGCGGGCGCGGGCGACGCGGGCGTCGAGCCGGCGGACCGCCGCAGGCGCCGAGTTTTTGGCTTGTTCAGGGAACGTAGTTTGGGTCGCGGGTGGGTCGCGGGCTCTCCACCTCCACCTGGAAAGAATTCAAAAAACAGCACGCCGCGGGTGCCGAAAAAATTGATTTGTGACGCTGAACGCGGTTTGGGTCGCAGGTTCTCCACATGGAACGAATCCAAAAGAAACCCGCCGCAGGCGCCGAAGTTTTGGCTTGTTCAGTGAACGTAGTTTGGGTCGCGGGTGGGTCGCGGGCTCTCCACCTCCACCTGGAAGGAATTCAAACACAGCCCGCCGCAGGCGCCGAAATTTTTTGATTTGTACACTGAACGCGGTTTGGGTCGCGGGTGGGTCGCAGGTTCTCCACCTGGAACGAATGCAAAAGAAGCCCGCCGCAGGCGCCGAAAATTTTGGGTGGGTCGCGGGGTGGGTCGCGGGTGGGTCGCGGGTGGGTCGCGGTGGGTCGCGGGTGGGTCGCGGGCGCGGTTTGGGTCGCGGGTGTCGCAGGTTCTCCACCTGGAACGAATGCAAAATAATCCCGCCGCAGGCGCCGACAATTTTGGGTGGTCGCGGGGTGGGTCGCGGGTGGGTCGCGGGTGGGTCGCGGTGTGTCGCGGGTGGGTCGCGGGTGGGTCGCGGGTGGGTCGCGTGGTGGGTCGCGGGTGGGTCGCGGGTGGGTCGCCGGTGTGTCGCGGGCGGGTCGCCAGGGGGGTCTCGGGGTGGGTCGCGTGCGGGTCGCGGGGTGGGTCGCGGGTGGATCGCGGGTGGGTCGCGGGTGGGTCGCGGGGTGGGTCGCAGGTGGGTCGCGGGGTGGGTCGCGGGTGGGTCGCGGGTGGATCGCGGGGTGGGTCGCGGGTGGGACGACGACAACAAACAACAACAAAAAACAACAACAACAAACAACAAACAGCAACAACAACACCACCAACAACAACAGCAACATCAACAACAACAACAACAGCAAACAGCAAACAACACCAACAACATCAACAACAACAACATCATCAAACACAAGAACAACAGCAGCAACAACAACAACAGCAACAACAATAACAACAGCAACAACAACACCAACAACAACAAGAATCCGCATCGCGGAATTCCACTTCAGCCACGCACCCAGGGACAGTGAATGACCCTTCGTTTCAGCCCCCTCACTCTGATTTTGGCCTTTCCCGGCCTTCCTGGAGGCCCTCTTGGAGGCCTCTTGGGCCGTCTTTGGCCATCTTAGGGCCATCTTCGGCCGTTTTGGTGGGCTCCTGGCCCGTCTAACACCGTCGGAAGCCGTTTGGGGGCCCTCTCTGGGCCGACTTGGGGCCCTCTTGGGGTGCTCCAGGGCCGGTTTGGAGGCCATCTTGAGCGATTTGAAGGCCTCCTCGGCCATCTTGGTGGGGCTCCTGGCCCGTCTGACGCCGTCGGAAGCCGTTTGGGGGGCTTTCTGGGCCGACTTGGGGCCCTCTTGGGGTGCTCCAGGGCCGTCTTGGAGGCCATCTTGGGCGTCCAGGAGGCCTCTTGGGTTGTCTTTGTGCCCTCTTGGGGCCGTCTTGCGGGCCGCTTGGGCAGTCCTGAGGCCATCTTGAAGGCCTCTTGGGCGCTGTGGGGGCGATCTTGGGGGCCTCTTGGGCCGTCTTGGGTCGTCGGAAAGCCGAGAAGAGGCGAATGCCAGAATCCTTCAAAAACCGAAGACAAATCAATGATTCTGGCCTCTTCGGGCCCTCCTGGAGGACCTCTTAGATGCCCCTTGGGCCGTCTTGGAGGCCTCTGGGGGGCCTCTTGGGCCGTCTTAGGCCATCTGGAGGCTATCTCAGGCCGTCTTGGGTGCATCTTGGGCCGTCTTGGAGGCATCTTGGAGCCATCTTAGCCGTCTTGGAGGCCCTCTTCTTGGCCGTCTGGGATGCATCTTGCAGGCCATCTTAGGCCGTCGTGGAGCCGTCTTGACCAGGAACAACCTTTTGGAACAGGGTCCGGGCAAATTTTCGGCATCTTTTCGGGTGGCCGGCGGGACGCGCCGGAGCCCCAGGGGGAGTTCTTTTGGAAAAAGAGCACAAACCAAAAACGATAGGATTCAGCACGCTGGGCACCCCTTGTGGCAAGCCACATGGGGCGGCGGATCGAAGACGCCTACGGTGAGTCACCGCCCCCCCTGCCTTCTAGAACCGCCCATGTGGCCGAGCGTTGTGGCAAGAGCTCTTCGAAGCTATCGGACCATGTGTTCCCCCAGCCGTTGTGGAAACCCTTCGGGTCACACGTGGTGGAGGATGGCGGGGAAGATCAGGAGGAGGCGGAGGAGGAGGTGGAGGAGGAGGAGGAGGAGGTGGAGGAGAAGGAGGAGGAGGAGGAGGAGAAGGAGGAAGAGGGGGCATCTTGGGAGCCTCTGGGGACACTCTTTGGAGCCGCCTGGGAGCTTCTTATTGGAGGCCTCTTGGGGGCCTCTTGGGCCGTCTTGGGCAATATTGACGCCATGTTAGGCCGTGTTGGAGACATCTTGGGCCGTCATGGAGGCATCTTGGGGGGCGAAGCTATCGGACCATGTGTTCCCCGAGTCGGTTTGGAAAGCCCTCGGGGAACACGTGGGGGAAGGAAGAGGAAGAGGAGGAGAAGGAGGAAAAAAGAGAAGGGGGAGGATGCCTCTTCGGAGCCTCTTGAGGCACTCTTGGGCTCGATTGGGCCATCTTGGGACCGTCTTGGAGGCCATGTTGGAGCCTATTGGGGGCCTCTTGGGGCTCTTTTGCGGCTTCTCGGGGGCCTCTTTGGCCGTCTTAGGGCGTTCCTGGCCCGTCTGACGTCGTCGGAGGCCGTCTTGGGGGCCTCTCTGAACCGACTTGGGGCCCTCTTCCGATGACCCGCCTCGGATTCGAACATGCAGTGCGGGCCCCATAGGGAGGGGGCTACCACTTGTGATTTTCCTGCAATTCGCTCACAGACGAGGCTCCCTCTTCCTCCATATTCAGGCCTCAAGAGCCCCAAAGTGACGACAGTTTCCAGTTTCCGATGACCCGCTCGGATTACCAGAATGAAGTGCGGGTCCCATGGGGGGTGGGCTCCCGCCTGCGACTTCCTCGCAATTCATTCACAGACGAGGCTCCCGCCGCCTGAAACTGCTTCAAAGCTCAGGAGCCTCAAAGTGACGACAGTTACAGGGGCCCGATGAACCGCTTGGATTACCAGCATGTAGTGCGGGCCCCATAGGGAGGGGGTTCTCGCTTGCGACTTCCTCGCAGTCCACTCACAGACGAGGCTCCCACCAGATATTTCCTCCATGTTCAAAGCTCAGGAACCCAAACGTGACGACAATTACAGGGTTCCGATAACCCGTCTGGATTATACCAACATGAAGTGCGGGCCCCATAGGCTTCCGCCTGAGACTTCCTCGCAATTCACTCACAGACGAGGCTCCCATTTGATACTTCCTCAAGTGTGGGTGTGAGTGAGCGGGTGAGTGAATGAGCGGGTGAGTGATTGAGGATGATGATGGTGATGATGATGATGATGATGATGAGTGAATGAGCGGGTGGGTATGTGGGTGACTGAGTGGGCGAGTGAGTGATGATGAGTGAGTGAGTGGGTGGGTGAGTGAGTGGGTGAGTGAGTCAGTGTGACGAGTGATGACGACGACGGTGGTGATAGCGTGCGTGAGTGGGTGGGTGATTGATTCGGTGAGTGGGTGAGTGTGAGTGATCATGGCGCGTGAGTGACTGAGTGAGTGTGCGAAGGCAGAAGAGATAAAGAGAGAGAGAGAGAGAGAGAAAGAGAGAGGGGGGGAGGAGGAGGAGAGATCCTGCGCGGAGGGTGCGCAGAGAAAACAAGAACTCCACTTTGGATGTGGGGAAATACACAGACACAGGCAATCATCGATTAACAGGACAACCAAGAAAAGTCGGATCTCAGACGGTGGTGGGGTTACGCGGTCCGATGGTTACCCGCCGCGGCCTGGCAACACGCAGTCAGCAGCAGCAGCAGCAGCAGCAGCAGCAGCAGCAGCAGCAGCGGCGGCAGCAGCAGCAGCAGCAGCAGCAGCAGCAGCTAGGGGCATGCGTTGGCAGGTTGATCAATCAGCAAAGCAAGACGTGTACTTTGGCCCTGGCCGTGTGGTTCTTCAGCGACGGAGTCCGAGTCCTGCCACCGTGGCCCATTGATGAGGACCGGTAGAGATCCACCAGCGGCGGTCTACTTTGCTCGTGCACGTTTGCGATTCCTTGGCGCCACTGGTGTCACGTTGCCCGATATAAGTTGGACTGGCAGGATTCGGGTTCACTGGTGGTTGCCAAGTGTGGGTATACACCTTTCTTGACTCCCCGATGGGTTGGGCGAGCGCCGCTGCGAGCGCCGCCGCAAGCGCCGCTGACAGGCGTTCGTTGTGAAGGAGTTCGAATCTATGGGCCTGAAGAGCTGCCTGCAGAAGTTCACCTACCAGGGCAACTACCCGGAGACCCCTCGCGCCCTTTCGTCAGGGGGAGGATAAGA